ACACACACACACACACACACACACACACACACACACACACACACACACACACCTCCTTTTTTAGCATCCTCCTCCAGCTTCTCCAGTCTGACACCCAGGACAGAACCAGCGGCTGCCTTCACCCGCCTCCCAGCACACAGCTGCAGAGAACACGGCGCTCTCACACAGAGTGATAAACATGGTCAGCATTTTCCTACCAACATTAAAGGTTCAAGGTTCTTTATTTGTCACATGCATAGTTATACAAGTATAACACACACAAAGGACCTGAGCCGCCTCAGCATGAAAAGCCGACTCTGCCCTTTTTTAAAGACAGCATTGGTGTTCTTGGTCCAGTCCAGTTTGCAGTCCAAGTCTACCCCAGGTACCAGTAGTCCTCCACGATCTCTACATCAGCCCCTCTGATGGTAGGAGGAGGAGCCTGCTCCCTAAAGTCGATGATCAGTTCCTTTGTCTTTGTGATGTTAAGTTGTAGATGGTTAAGCTCACACCACTCAACAAAGCTGTCCACCACACTCCTGCACTCCGCCCACCTGATACAGCCCACAATGGCAGAGTAATCGGAGAGTTTCTGCAGATGGCATGACTGAGATTGTACCTGAAGTCAGACGTGTAGAGGGTGAAGAGGAAGGGTGATAGGACCGCCCCCTGCGGCGCCCCCGTGCTGCTCAGGATGTTATCGAGCGGTAGCTCTTCAGCCGAACACGCTGTGGTCAACTTGTTAAATAGTCCGTGATCCAACCTACCAGTGGGGCGTCCACCTGCATTTCTCCCAGCGCTCCCAACAATGTCCAGGTGAGAGTAAGCCTGGTCCAGCAGGTAGATGATGGCATCCTCCACACCGATACGGGGTTGATAAGCAAACTGCAGGGGGTCCAGCCAAGGCTCCACCAGCAGATGCAGATGTCTCAGGATGAGTCTCTCCAGCATCTTCACGACATGTGAAGTCAGAGCCACTGGCCTGTAGTCACTGGGGGTTGATGGGTTCATCTTTTTAGGGACAGGAACCAGGCAGGATGTCTTCCAGAGTGATGGACTCATGTTGAAGATCCAATGTAGAACTCCAGAAAGCTGGGAAGCACAGCACCTGAGGACCCTGGGGCTGACACCATCCGGGCCTGCAGCTTTACTGGAGTGGAGTCTGCCCAGTCCCCTTTGGATGTCTTCTGCTGAGAGGGACAGGGTGAGACAGGCTGAGGGGGGGGAGGAGAACATGTGGCCCTCCTCCTCCCCCACACGTGTCCGCCCTGAGCTTGTTCTGTGTTTGGTTTCCTCCGCTGTACATCAGAGGTCCCCCCAAGTGTCGCTCTCGGCCCTTCGTCTGTCTGACGGCGCTGTTGTGTCATTTCCTGTTTAGAAGCTGCTGCAGCACGTGGAGGAGCGGCTCATCGGCGGTTTGGACCACCGCTGCTCTGTCGGCGTCCTCAGAGACATCAGAGACGCCCAAAGTCACATGATCGGTAAGGCCTCACAGTTTCATCACATGTTCTTTGTATGCACGTGTTATTATTTAGTTCCACTGTGGTGCCCTTTGTGTCGGCTGTGGTTGCTTTAAGTGCTTTACGAATAAAGATGTACAGACGGACGGCTCTCCTTGCTGACAGGAAGTGGGGACACTCTTTCTTCTGCTTGGTTGTCCTCAGACGCTGTCCGTCCTCTGCTGTCTCCGGCTCTGCAGGAGCAGCTCTCCACTCCCTCCGCCTCCTTCGAGCTGACCTACGACCTCGGCCTCGCCGCCCTCTGTGCAGACTTTCAGGAGAACATCGACTTCCAGTTTTCTCTGGGCTGGACCGCCCTCGTCACCCGCTTCATCGGTGCCGCAAACGCCAAACGAGCGCTGAGTGGCGCCGACCGCGCGCAGAAGGCAAGTTCAGCGCAGCGTCACATCTGTGAAACCTTCAGAAAAAACAGAGTGCACATGGAAACTGTCTCTCTGCTGCAGGAACGCTCCACCTTTAGGGATGAAATGGTGGTTTCCATAGCAACGGGTCTGGTCTCTGTCACATCCAGGGCGTCCATGACGGTGCTGGTGATCGGCGGAGTGGTACGTTTTACTTTACAGCATTGCTGAGGTTCAGTAACCAGGTGCTGCCTCTCGGCAGGCTTCCAGAAGGTGGCCAATCATAAAAAGGGCCCAGTGCAGGAGAAAAGATGAAACTGCAAATGATGCCGAGCGTCTGCGACGCATAAACACGCAGGCCTGCTAAGATGGTCTCTCTCCAGGAGATTAGTCCAGGAATGACTCCGAGCCACTTCTTATCTTTTCCACGAGGGCTCTGTTAAAATTGGGGACAGGTGTGTGTCTCTCAGGTGCGTGCTGTTGTCGCTGCAGGTGTGGCGTTCAGTGGGCTGGCGTCTCATCGCCCTCTCTGTCTCTCTGTATGGTCTCCTCTACCTGTACGAGAAACTCACCTGGACTGATGCCAGCAGGGAGCGTGCTCTGAAGCAGCAGTTTGTCGAGCACGCCGCTCAGCGCCTGAGAGCCATCGTCCCTGTCGCCAGCAGCGCCTGCAGCCATCAGGTGTGCAAGTAAGACCCCGCCCACGCCTGACGCACATGTCCAGGGAGCGAACACCTGGAGGCTCTGCCTTTAATCTGCTCTGTTTGTGTTTGAGGGAGCTGTCGTCCACCTTCAGTCGCCTGACTCAGAGGGTGGAGCTGAGTGACGCTGAGCTGGAGGGAAACATCCGTCAGCTGAGCTTCAGGATCCAGAGACTGGAGAACATCCAGAGGCGTTCCAAGGCCTTCAGGTCAGAGCTCCGAGCCGCTCGTGGTTTGGAGAGTTCACAGGAACTCCCGCTCAGAAACAAACTTCAGTGCACGAGATGCAAAAGTTAAATTCAGGGATTGCACATCAGATCTTTGGCGTTTTCTGGACAGTCAGCGTGCAGAGATCCCAGAAGTCCCAGTTTGGGAATCATGAATCTGGTTTTCCAACGTTTGGCAGCTTTGGGTCAAAATAAGGTTTAAAAATCGTTTTTCTGTGCAGCGTTTACTTACAATATTCCAGCGTCCATAAACACACCCCACGCACTTCCAGGTCCTGTTAGCATCTCAGCAGAAGCTGCATGTCTTAAAATCTTGTTTTCGTTTGTTCAGGAACAGAGCCACCGAGCTGGAGACTCAGCTGGAGGTCTTTTCGGTTCAGTACCTGCAGGAAAACTAAAGAAGAAGAATTGCTGCTGTGGTGAAGCTCCTGGCCAATCAGAAGCTGGTGGAGAGTCCTGAGGTATCGCTCGTCGCCCAGCGTTAACACCGACAGTCGCATACATCCCAGACAGCTCCCTGCTCAGGTGACCTTCGTCACCAACCAACACAAACCAATAGAGGACAGCTTACCACTGAGGGCTGAACAGGAAGCAGCAGGAGACCCTGAGTCGATGCTTTTGCTTTAGAATCAAGGGTCAAAGTTCGTCTGTAGGCTCGTACAGTCTGTCCTTCATGAGCAGCTGATGAGCTCCTGAATCTTTGGCTCCACCTTCAGGCCGTTTGGGTCTCCTGAGGTGGTGAGTGGATGCTCCGCCTTCGCCGCGACCACAAACAGCTGAACCTCAGCAGCTTATCTCACACCAGCTTCTAATATCTCATCATGTGACTGTGATTAGACGTATTGATCAGTGATAGAATCCATAAATCTGTGCATTATTGCTCCGAAGTGTGATGTGTTTCAGAGCTCCACCTGGCAGGAAGTCAACCTTCTAGTGAAGAATCAAGAAAATAAAAGCATTGAATATTCTATGGCTTCATTTTTTCCTCTCTTTAATGGCCCTGGTGTACTCAACACTGTTTCACTGCTGAACGCAATTAAACACTCAGCTCACCCCTCACTGCAGCACATTCAATTACCTCCGCCCGTCCCCATCAGGGTTACACAGACAGGTGGAGGTGGGAGTGCTGCAAAGAGCAGGTCAGGCCTCAGATACAGCCTTAAGCAGTTTAAAAGAAGTGTCCTGAGTAAGATTTACCAGTTTAAAGATCAGCCGAGATGAGCTGAGCCGATCTTGTTTGTGAATGTTTGAGTGCTGACCTGGTTTTCTTCAGGTTTACTGACCTGAGACTGGAGTGGTTCACACACTTTTATAGTGGGAGTTCTGGTCAGGAAATCTTCCTGGATTTTTGGGTGTTGTTGGGATCAAATGAGCTCAGTCACCAAACCACTCAAAGGCTCTTGTCCTCGTCATGGCGCCCTTCTTCTTAACACATTTCTAATGATTATCGTGGAAAACTGAGCCTCACAGTTTTTTAAGTGAGAAATGCTTTTGTCTCTTTTTGTGACTCTCGGCTCGTCCGCTCGACTCGAAGTTTGTTGTCTCAAGTTTCCTCTTCGTGCTCACGCTGAAGCCAGCAAATACACTTTGATCAGGTCACTTTTGTGGTGTTTTCTCTGTTATCCTAATGTTTATCAATGAATGTGTGATTGTGGATGGACAGAGCTGATGCTTCTCTGCAGTGCTTCCTGCTGCCACTGGAGGTCACTGCTGCACTGCGAGCACCTTCCTCACGTCAGACCTCCCCCTATAGCAGGGGTGGGCAACTCCAGGCCTGGAGGGCCGGTGTCCTGCAGGTTTTAGATGTATCCTTGAACCAACACAGCTGATTTAAATGGCTAAATTAGCTCCTCAACATGTCCTGAAGTTCTCCAGAGGCCTGGTAACGAACTAATCATGTGATTCAGGTGTGTTGACCCAGGGTGAGATCTAAAACCTGCAGGACCCTCGAGGCTGTCAGGACCCTGCATCAGCGCCACCTCCCACTTCAACATGTCGTTGAACACTCAGGTACAGGTGAGTGCTCAGACCCCACCTGTCTGCAGCTTTTTGCTCAGTCACATGATGAGTGTTTGAATACCCGGCCTTCTTCCTCTCTGACTGACTCGCTGCTCCATCTTGTGGTATAAACTGGTATTTTACCCTGCGTTGCCCGTTTTAATGCAGCATGTGCCCCAAAAGTCAAAGGCTCCGGTCTTTTGTTGTTACACACATTCATTTACAACACACAGCTTCAAGTTCACACTTTATCTTATTTGTCTGTGCTTCAGACAAGCTCGGCTTGTTTCCACCGAGTGAAATCTGACAGGACAAACTTCCTTCAGCTGTTGTTTCTGTGGAAATCTACGAGGGGGCAGGAAAAGCAGGACAAACCGGGGGGGGGCTCTGTAACACTGCCCTTAATTAAAACACTCACAGTAACGTTTCTGCACAGAACACACTGATTAGACTCCAGGTTTCTGTATCACCCGTTTAATATCATCAGTTTACATGTGATTACTGTCCGCACAGTCATTTACATCAGAACCGTACAGACGTGAAGACGAGCAGGACTCAGGAGAAGCAGCAGGACGAAGATTCACACTCCTCATCATCGTGTGGATGAAGTTTGTGAATCTTCCCGTTAATCTCTGAAGCAGGAAGCTGTGGATGAAAACGCGCTGGCTGTTTGCTTTTCTGGAGCTCTTTGCTTTTGTTACTTGGGCGTCCTGACTTGAACACAGTAAAACCCTCAGAATGAGAAGCGCTGTGGTTTCCTGTCAGCTGATCTGAAAAGAACCACAGACAGGAAGTCGTCCCGAACTAAGGACAGGACAGGAAGCCTTCACCGCTCCAGCACTCGGGGGACGCTGCTTTGATTTAGCTTTCGTTTAACCGGATCAGCTGCTGCGCGTTTTCTCACACTCACCTGAGAACCAGCGACAGGAAGGAAGGGACAGAGCATGAACACGACTTTTCAGAATAAAACACAGAAACTGTAACAATAATACAAACATCAGTTTTAAACTATAACGTGTTAATGTTTGGAATCAATCACAGGCGCCTCCCACAGGCAAACACAGGAACAGCAGCAGGTATGACGGGACGATGAGCGCCACCTCCAGGCCAGGCGGGAAACCGCTGCAGTCGTTTTGTGAAAAACCTTAACGCACAGAAGTACCGCTGCATCAGTGAGACATGTTAGGGTTTAAAACGATTAAATAAAGCTGTTTTATAATTTTTTTATAAACACAATGGAAATGTGCTCATAAACATGTTGGCGCTCCGTGTTTGAGGGTCAAAAGCTTCGTCCTGCGCCATGACTGGATTTGAAATATTGAGGCGTAGACGTAGAGCACGGAGGGTTTTGCAGCATGCGTACACTTCAGGGTTAGAGAGATATTCTCTGGGAGAGTCTGAACAGAATGTCCTGAACTAGATATTGGAATCAGCGGTAGGATGAAAATGATCAAGGCTAGGCAGAGGGGTGTTTTTCTTTTCTGTCTCTTTCAGAGGAAGGAGCAGATACGAGGCGAGGTCGGAGGTGAGCAGGCGGGAGGACTCGTAGGGATCCAGCAGACGTTGGTTCTGGAAGAAGCTGTACGGCTCGCTGAGGGTCATCCTTTGTGTGAAGACAGACGGCTGTGTCACTCAGGGGGCGAGGCGTTTAACTTTTCAACTGCCAAAGCAAATCGTTTTAATTCAATTCAGTTGTATTTATATAGCGCCAAATCACAACAAAAGTCGCCTGAAGACGACAGATATTTCTCCTGAATTCCTTTGGAAAATATTTGACACATGCCCGAACCCTTCCTGCAGGTGGCGCTAGCAGCTGCTTCATCATCACCACATGGAAAACATCAGAATTCTGAGTTATGAATTCTGTTATTCACCTTTAGCACCACACCTGATCTCAGGTGTGAAGGTGGCCTCTTGGTTGGATTTAAATAAATGCTGCTGCAGTACCAGCTGTTGCCTGCAGGGGGTGACACACAGAGGCGAGTTTCTAACAGACCCCTGCTGCTGTTTTATGGCTTTAAAGGGTTAAAAGTAACAAGGTGAAGAAACGTGGGAGGAAAAAGCCTTAAAGTGGGCGTGTTCTGCTTCTCCTCACTCCTGCAGCTCCGTGGTTTGGATTACTCGTTAGGAAAGGACCTGGTGTTAAGCTTCATGTCCACGGACATCGTGAGTTTTTATAACCTGAGCTGAAAGACGTGCTGCAAGTGAACAGAGCCGATAGAAAAGCTACAGAGGCGAGAACGACCACTGAAGAGATTCTGGGGTTTGGACATGACAGGGTGACCAGCAGGGGGCGACTCTGGTGTGCGACTGTATACAAGTCCATGAGAAAATGAGCGCAGGGAAGTCTTTCCTGATGAGTCGCTGGTTTCACGTCTGCTTCATTAAAAAACAAAGTTTATTTTCTAAATTCTGGTCCCGTTAATACAAAGCAGGAGAGGGGCAGAGTGGGCGGAGCCAGGTGACAGAAGGAGAAGGTTTAAAGATGGTAGTGACACCTGCTGGGATGTTCAGATGTCCACTGGGAGTGAGCAGAATGGACAGGATCAGACGTGAGTCCATCAGACCAATGGCTCAGTTGGTCTGAGCATGTGCAGAAGCGGGAAGGTGGAGCTTCAGGTGGGAAGAGAAGAGAAAGAGCTCAGAGGAGGTTCATGGACGTAGTGGAGAGGGTTGGAGGGTGCTGGGATGGAAGATGATTCGCTGTGGAGAGCAGCTGACAGAGGAAGGAGACAGAGAAGCAGGCTGTGGTGGAGGATGGAGGCGGGGCTTCCATGAGTACAACAGAGCCGCCCACTTTCAAAACACCACGAAGGCGAAAATGCTCAAAAAGGTGCTCACGGTGGAAACGTCTATGCTGCATGTAGGAGGACATCTCTGGCTGCGAGTACATGAGCTCCGCCCACCTGATGTTCAAACGTTCTTTTCATGAAGGACAGCCATGAAAAGAACGTTTGTGTCAGATAAAGAAGGATTATTTTGAGTCGTGAAGCATGCAAAGCTGCTCTGACAAGTCCACGAGTCCAGACCTTCCTCCCCCTCTTCATCCCTCACGACATCACGTTTAAAGTCGACCATCAGGAAGTGACCGATGAGCAGAGGAAAATCAGCAGCAGGTGACGAGGAGGAAGAGGAGGAGCTGAATTCAATCTTCTTGTTAAAGGTGAAAAGATGATCGACCTGCAGACGGCGTTGAGAATGCAGAGCTACAAATAGGAAGCTAAAGGGCTGCGCCGTTCCCTCACTGTCTGGTTTCAACCCGGGCATCCAACCGAGCTCCCGTGACTCTGGGAGCAAGGCTCCGCCCTCCCATGACTCGCCGTCAGACGTCGCTCATGTCGAAGGCCCTCATCAGCAGGTCTAGGTCGCCCATGTTGGCGGCCTGGAACAGCTCGGGGCGGTCCATCATTGAGATGGCGATCCGCAAGGCGGCCCAGATGTTAGCCGACATCTGCTGCTGGCTGCAGCGCTGACTCCGCCTCTGCTGGTTCAGCGCCGTGAGGAAGTTACTGACCGCCTCCCTGCAGGACCAGGACCGGGGTTATACAACTACATCGCCGCAGTAAGACTGGTCTGTGTGAGGTCAGAGGTCAGTGCCAGGGTTACCTGTGCGCTCCCAGGTTGATGCAGCTGATTCCCAGGTTGTACCGCGAGCGGATGAATCCGGGCTGCAGCTCCAGAGCTCTGGTGTACGCCTCCACCGCCTCCTCGCTGCGGTTTCCGTTGGCGAGCGTGGCTCCCAGACGGTTCCACAGCAGGTAGTCCTGCAGAGAGAAACCCCGCCGCTGATAGCGTCACTGCTCGTATGAAAGGACCGCCACCATGTTGACGTGTGTGTGTCCGCGTGCGTGTTACCTGTGGCCTGACAGACAGCGCTGCACTGAAAGCTTCCACCGCCTTGTCGAAGTCCGAGCTCAGGTTGAAGAGGACTCCCAGCCCGGTCTGCAGGTCGGGATCCACACAGTCCAGG